AGACCTTCTGCATTCAAAGCAAATACTCTATGGTTGAGCTACTGCCTGGGACCTACAAAAAACGGAGCCAGCTCTGGTCACAATCCATGGAGGCTTGACATACATATTTCTCTATGCTATATTGAAAGCTACACGGATTTTAAAAATCCCCACTCCTTATACTGATTGACTTTGTTTCAGAGCAAAAGAAAAATTACAATCAATTTTGTAACAGGCGTGCAAGTCTCATATAGGCAACCTCACATGACAACTGCAAGCACCACTGTTTTGTCATATAAATAGGGTGCACACAAGCTCAGAAGTCGCGGGCTGTTGTGCAATTTGGAGAAGACATGTGCTGATCTGCTCACCATTTGAATGTTAATGGAATTGCCTTCTGCGCAGGAATTTTGAAATGCTTGGAGGCTCATCACAGCCATTCGCTGATGAATGGCTCTGTGAAATTGGCAATTTCCCAGTCTCTGCTTCCCATCTATAAGATATAGTAGTCACCTACCTTGCAGGCTAAAAGAGTAATGAAATATGGAAACATTATGATAGTTCCCGATGCCTAGGAATAAGAAAGGGTATACATTTACAAGAGCATTTTCCATTACAGTTTAAAACTGGTGCTAAATTTTCATAACGGGAGAGATTTGTGTCTAAACACTCTGCCCAAAAACCTTCTCCCTCTATCTCCCACTATACAAGATCCTCTTTTGGTCACCATGCATATCCTCAGTCTTTGGATGTATGCACACCAACCCATTTGTAGCACAAATATGTCGTTTGTCTTTAATAAGCTGCTTTCATTTGATTGATTCTAAATTCTGCTGTCCGCAAGGTGGGGGCAGTTACTTGGTATGCATTTAGAAACCCTCCCTGATTAGGATATCCACACATTTCCCCCCCTGCACATGTTCCAGGTGAATGAAATGGTGCTTGCAATCTGGGTATATATCCACCCACAGTGTCACTAGGCAGGTGCAGATACTGCCCCTATTGCTGGGACTGCCTACATCTGTTTTCACCTGTTTTCGAATGGACACACTATGGGGCTGTCTAGAATAAACCTACAATGACCTTTTATTTTCAGAAAGAAACCAGATGCTCAAAAAGTGTTTTTCAGAGCAAAAATATGCAACGGATCTAGAATGTGTGCGGACTAGGTAGGGGGGGGGGAATACCAAGCTCTCAGTCTCCCTTGATGTTAGAATAAAATGTGTGCAGGGCTGAATCCTGACACTAGCAAGAGATTCCAGAGCTGAGCTTTGGAATTAAGCCCTGCTTATCGTGTAAGATTTCAAGTCTATGAATATTAATCTCCAGACTCAATTTCTCACATGCTATTTTTTCCAGATGCTTATCCCAATTCCGAAGTGATCTATGTGTGGACTCACAGCCCGGCAGCATCCGTGGTAGTAGCAGAAGACGGTTCAAGGCTTAACCAGTATCACTTGATAGGGCAAACTGTCGGTTCTGAGAACATCAGTACCAGCACAGGTGAGGAGGGAGAAGGGATGCTGTTTTTGGCAACTCATGTATTTATTTTTGCAAACAGTTTAGATTCCTGAACATCAAAACATCTAAGTAATACATCACAGAAGCATTAGAATATAAGAATGAAACAAGAGCCAGGCAGATTCAAAATGCTGGTTGTGGACAAATTCAAAAACAATACCAAGCTAGGGGAAAAAATCAGTTTTTTTTCCCTAGCTTGGTATTGCACCATTAAAAAAACACACGGTGCAACGATACTGAAAGCCAACTGACCCACTTAGCCATGGGATACTGTCAGCAGTTGTGGACTGTTGTGGTCTAGCAGTGGTGTGGAGTGAGAGCTGGTCTCTCAGGTTACCTGGTCTTGAGATGCAGAGGATGTTACTGTATATACCAACAATAAAACATTGAGCTTGGCCTGGTAGCATATTGGCAGCCACTGCAATTCCCTGAACAAAGGTGTTACATGATAATAGTAGTCTTTTCCACATAGCAATCTAGCAGCTGCAGTCAGCACCAGCTGCAGCTTCAGGATCAACCTCAAGGGCAGACTGAAGTGCATTGAAATAATCAAGTATTGAGGATACCAAGGCATGAACCACTGTACCTAAATTATATGAATGGCTGTGGGTGGCACCTCAGCCAAAGCTGGTAGAAAGCACTCCTAGCACTGAAGCCAGCTGGGCCTCCGATGTTTTAGTCAATGTGGAAAATGAGAAGTTCACTTCTGGAAATTTCAGGCACATTTTTAAGGTCATTTACCACCGGTTGATTATATTTCCACTTCCCTCTTTTGTTCTCACAGTGAGTGTGGATTAAATAATTGGTGCTCCCTTTCCCATGATATTTATGTATCATTGCATCTGTATTCCAGCGTTTCTCCAAGGAGCTCAAGCATTCTCCGCCTCTCCATTAATTTCTCACAACAACCCTGTGAGGTGGGTTAGGCTGAGAGGATGTGACGGGCCCCCAAGGTCACTCAGCAAGCTTCATGGCTAACTGGGCATTAGAACCCAGCATTCTTACCACTGCACACTGCTGCCTTGTTTGGGTGTGGGTTGGAAAAGGAGGCAATACTTACTCAAGCATGCATATATACCATTTGCTTGAGCAGAACCCACTGAAAAGCCTAGTGACAGGAATAGGGAACTGCAGCTCTTCCCATTTTGGTGGACAACAGCTTCCATCATCCCAGACTCCCAGCCCCATGTTGCCTGGGGCTGCTGAGAGTCAAGAGTTCAACAGCCTCTAGAGAGGACTACATGTTCCCCATCCCTGCAGGAGGAGAAGCTGATACAGAAACGCTTGACCTGTGATGCCTCATTCCCCCATGCAAGTCACCACTGGATACTGCAGTGCTCAAGTGAGAACACTGCATGTGTGCGCCACCAATTCAGTGGCTTTAATGACTGTGAGCATGCAGTCAGGTTGTGGTATGCCCGATTCATGCTCGGACAGCGTCCAGGATCCAAAATACCACATGTATTTTCAGTCTTTCTCTACCATATATGTGTGACACAAGTGTGTCATGCAAAGACTCCCTGATTTTGCATGCTTTTTCTCGTGTTTGATTTGGGCCGTCACACATCTAGGCTGATGCATGTGCCGCTTGGCCTACATCACACTCTTTTAGGTGCATGAGGAGGATTCCAATCTACCGTCCGTGCCTGGCTACACATGTGCATGAGACCGTAGTGATTCCCATTTAATTAATACAGAGTGAATACAGACCGTAGTGATTCCCATTTAATTAATACAGAGTGAAAAGGTAGAAACTTGGGTATGTACCCAAAGGCAGCTATAGGTATTGTGGTGATAAAGGAGCTTACTCTATGGGACTATGTTCAGGGGGGAAACACAATGGGGAACCTGTTGAACTACAGTTCCCATGGGCCCTATCAGCTGAAGCTGATGAGAGCTGGGGTTCAGCAACATCCGAAGGGCCCCACAGTTCCCCACTCCTGCTCTAAAAGTGACAGCAACCTAGCAATCCAAAGGAAATGCTATTCTTTGTCCATGTTCTGAATATAGGACACACCTAGCAAGCAGCATAAATCAGTCCTTGAATACCTCTTGAATTTGCCATATTTTCCACCCTGTCTCTTTAACAGCTGCATGAGCACAAATCCAAGAGGCACATCTCTACAACCCGGGGAAAGCTGCGCCTGTTGGATGGCTGCCTTCGTGCCCAAAGCCCAAATCTTCTGCGGCAGCAGCATAGTCCGACACTTTGGCGCTAAGGAAAGGAAGGCCCTTGAGGGGAACCGGGGACGAGGCGCCCGCAGCTTCCCCCGCGTTTTGCAGAGGCTGCTTTCGCTCGTGCCGGCTTATTCCCCTCTTGCAGGAGGCGAACAACCGCCTACGCGTTTTGATCTCTCTCTCTCTCTCTCTCTCTCTCTCGAGCTTTAAAATGATTTGTTTGATGAAACGCATTTGGAGGCGGGCGGGGGAGAGAGAAGGGGGGAGGAAGTGGCAGCTGTTGCCTGGCTTTGCAGCGTGTCCGAAGGACCACGTGGCTGCAAAGGAGGCGCTAACCCGAAGGATTCTCCCATTTCCTCCCTAACTGGAAGTGGAGGCGCCAGATGTGGCAGCATTAGGGAACTAAAGAAGCTTTAATCCCGCGCCCAGCCACCCACGTGAGACCCCCCTCCCCCGCTCCCGGCCTGGCTCGGGGTTCTATGTCAGGACAATCCTGGCCGGCGATTGGCTGCAGCGCGTTCGGAGGGGGCGGGGGAGGGAGGGCCGCGGCCCCGGACCGAGGCCCGGGAGTCACATGGGGGTGGCAGACAGAGGGGCTGCAACAGGTTACATAACGGCCTCGCCTTCGGGAACCAGGCGGGGACGGCGTTGTGCGGTAATTAGAAACTAAGCACCTCGCCCGGGGTGGAGGGAGCAATGGGGCCTCACGCTGCGCCCATCGGGGGAGACGCCGCCGAGGGAAACGCGGAGCTCCTTTGTCCCCGGGGTGGTGGCGCAGACCTCCGGAGGGAAACCAGCAGGGTCCCCCGGGGCTGATCCGGGGTGGGGCGGAGATGCTGCCTCTTCGATCAGGAGAAGGGCTATTTTTAAGGGATCCCTTCAAGGAGACAAAGGCAGACACGGGGCTAATGGGAAGGAGAAGCGATGGCACAGCTCCAAGCTGCCTCGTTCGCATCAGCAGAGGCGCCCGCAGCTCTTCGCAAGCGGCGACCCGTCGAGAGCCCAGCGGGCTGCTTTTGAAATCCAAAGGGCGACTATAAGGGAGGGGGGTGGGCGAGGAGGAAGGGGCGGCGGCGGAACGGAACTTCGCACGGAGCGCCACAAACCTGGCAATTGTCTGATCAAAGCTAAGATCGCACCGATTCCCCCCAAACCTCACATCCAGGGCTCCACAAAAGAAGCGCGCACCGATCCACAAGTCAAAAAGCTTTCGTTTTGTTTGGGGCAGGGGAGGAGGGATGGTGGAAGTTAGAGGAGCACCTGTACGATGAAACCAGGGCGGGCAGGTAGCAGCAGCAGCAGCAGGCGGCCGAGTTTCTTACCAGTTCACCATCATCGCGGCGTTGTTCTCTGCGATGAAAGGCAGCTCCCCTCTCGCCTTCAGAATCGCCAGGAGGAAGATCCAGAGCGCGTGCCGAGGCATCTCCTAGGGTCGTGCGCGGCTCCTCGGAGCAAAACCACAATCCCAAGCGAGCGGTGGGCGCTCCAGGGTGCCAGGGGACTCAACTCGGCCACTACTCTGCAGGGCACTTGCGAAGGGGGGCGAACAGCTGCAGCCTCAAGGAAGCAGCAAGATTCGTAGCAGAAATCAAAATGTTAGTGCCCGGGGGCACCGCCTCCCTTAAGGTTTGCAGAGGTTTAAGCAAATAAAATGTTGGTTTTCAACATCAATAGGTTTGCTTTTCCCCCTTTCTTTCTCCCCCTCCCCGTCTTCTGCCTTCTTTCCCCCCTTGCTAACGTCCCAGGTTACATCTGTGCGGGCTGGGTTGTGATTGCAGGGTGGATCACAAAGAGCAGGACACAGATTGTAACCAGGGATTAGCAAAATACAAAAATCCGATTTTACACAGGGGAAGCATCAGTCAGCTATGGATTTTCTGGGCTTCATCAAGCTCGCAGGAGGCCTGTAATCGGGGTTACTTGTGAACGGATTTCCAAGATGTTCTGTCCTTCCACAGAGCTGTGGGATCTGAAAATAACAAGCATAGACCCGTGAAAGAATTTCGCAGTTTGCGTATTTTGCTCCTGCGTCGTTTCCCCCCTTTGCAATTGCTTCTTAAAAAGAAAAAAACAACACCCCCCCCCACACACACAGCACCACACCACCTATAAATAATATGCCATTTTTATTTTAAACCATGCAACAATTGGTGAGAAGGTGGAAGGTTTGGGATGATGTGAAGCAGATGTGCTCACAGCAAGGGCTGCTTCTGCTCTTCACTGGGGACTGAAATCAAATTGGTCCAAAATCCAAGACCACATCATGCATGGATGCTGCCTGCAATATGTTTGTGGAGCCAGTGTGGTGGTCAGAGTGGTGGATGAAGACCCGGGAGACAGGGATTCGAATCCCCACATAGCCGTGAAGTTCGTTGGGTGATCTTAAGCCGATGGCTCACTCTCAGTTAAACCTACATTGCAGGGGGGTTGTGAGGATAAAATGGGGGTGGGGAGAACTATGCATGCCTCCTTGGAGGAGAGGCAATAAAGAAATAATGTGTTGCTTTCAGCGGGGTGAGCATGATGCAGAGGGCTGCTTCTGCATGTGGGTCACCTTACTTGCGATAGGGTGCCAGGCTCCATGGAACCAGCCTTTGGGACAGCCACTGCAGGTCTTTTGGGAAGCACCAATCTCAAGAAGAGATTCTGCAGTGGATCTCAGATGGAAAGTCCTGGACTCAAATGATGCTGAACTTTAAGGCCTTGCCAGTTTTGGGAAGCCAGATGTAGTTTTTGAGAAAAGGGACGACACTTTCGTATATATTTCTTGCTCTCACTTGGAACCATTTGGTGCCTGCTTACCCCTAAATGAGACTCTAACTAAGTTTTAGTGGGTGACTTGATTTATTTATTTTAAACCAGACTATGTTATAGATCCAGCATATTCAGCTTTTAGCCTAGGTTTCTCCTCACAGCAAAAATATACATCTCGCCTCGAATGAATCCTGTTGCAAGATCCGTACCACATACAATCTCTCTACAGTCTGGAGCTCCTTAAGTGTGCTTGGTAGGAATTACTATGTTCTTTAAGAGTTGAACAACTCTTCATGTATTCAGCAGGTGCAAAAATTGGTAGCATATTAGTCCTTTATGCAAACTCATCTCCTTTCTACTGGTGCACATAGATCCACATATTTATGGATTATTAAAATCAAAGAAAAATTATGTGTTAAGGTGTGTAGTGGATTGCATAGAGTAAATTTGCATAGAGTACAGCCCTGGTGATGTCATCACTAAAGCTACAAGGAGGCAGTAATTTGGGACACAGTAATTGCCTGCAGTCTGTAGATCACCATACTATACAATTGTAAGGGGTAGGAACTCTCCGTGGAAATGATACAGACCTTGAGACCAGGTCCTCCAGTGGAAGCTACAGAAATGATTCCATGTGACAATAACTATACTGCAGCCTTTGCCAACCTGGTGCCCTCCAGATGTTTCAGATCACAATCATAGGAGCCAATTCCTAGGTCCCTTCAGCAGCCCCAATAAAATATTTGAGGGGGTCGAGCCCACCCCACCCCACAATTTGCCATCTTGTGATTGGCACCTCCAATGGGCATTGTAATTAAAACTTCTTGAGGGCACTAGATGGGCAAAGACTAATTGATTCTCCACAACAATGGGAGAGAATCCTTGTCAGTGCTAATTGTCACTGAAAATGAGTGGCAGAGGCATGAGGATTCCCCCATAAGTTGTGCAGTGCTCCAGAATAAATGTTCCACATAATAGCTGCTCCATAAATAAACTCTTATGGGGAAGCATTTTCCAGCAGCATCCATGTGGGGCCACAACATGGATTGAGCGGGACCGTGGAAGGTCACTCTTCTTCACCAACAATTGGGTACATAGGCAGGGTACTAGCACAAGCTGAAACATCATGAACGAAGTCTACGAAGCTTGGGTACCAGAGAGCATCTCAGCTTAGAAATAAGCTTCAAGCGGATGGGTCTTGCTTGGCTCTAACTCTGTCCTCACCTTACTTTATAGCACAGCCTGCCCCCCCCCCAAAAAAAACCCAACAACCTGGGAACTGTAGTTAAGGCTGCTGGGGATTGTAACTCTCCTAGGGGTAAACATTTCTGAGGTCTCTTTGGAGTGGAGCCTTTTAAATGTATGGTGTGTATGCTTTTGTTCCCAGCCAGTGGCTTATGAGTACAAAAAGAAGTCCTCAGTTCATTTCCTTTGTTTGAACCATCCAATATTGTCATATGGAAGAAGTGCTAGACAGAAGACAGCTGTTTGTGAACCGGTGCTCTGGCTTTTGTTGATAACTTATGTGTGTCATTTTATCCTCTTCTGCCACCTTAGGTGAATATACTATAATGAGAGCACACTTTCACCTGAAAAGAAAGATTGGCTATTTCGTCATCCAGACATATCTTCCTTGTATTATGACGGTGATCTTATCCCAAGTATCATTTTGGTTAAACAGAGAATCTGTCCCTGCTAGAACAGTCTTTGGCAAGTATTTCACTTCTCTCTGGTGTTTCTTTTTAAGTGACCTTTACTCTAAGGCAGGGGAAGGAGAACCCTAATCAGGTGTCCTGGTGACCTAACCACCATTGGGTAGGAGGCAATGCTTAACTCTTCCCCTGCCAACCAGTTTCCCCCTGTGCATGCCTCTGTCTCAGGCAGTTCCTTGCCTTTTCTCTCCACCCCCTCAGCCCCACCAGCAGGGTCTGAAGGAAGCGGGGGCACATGCAGCTTCAATCACAGAAGCAAGGAAATGTAACATTAGAGTCCTCCATTGGACAGGAAGCTGCATTCCTACATCTCAGCCAGCGTGCAGCCTGATTTGGGCAGAGGGCACAGTTATTCCTGAAGCCAAACACCATGTGTCCCATTTATCATAGCAGCCTGCCTGATTGAAGTAGTGGCCACTCACTTTCTATGGATTTTGACCATGCCAGGGGAACCTCACTGCCAGAACCACCCAGATCATGTAGGCCAATGATCACCAACGGCTTTGGACTGGTAGGCATATATGCAAAATGGAGAAACTCTTGTTAACACCACACACACACACACCCTGCTGCCAAGCACACATCACAACCTGTTCTACAGGCTGCAATTGAATGCTTCCTTCAATCCTGCTTTCAGCATGGGGAGGGCACCCTGGGGATACCCTGGAAGGTCTCTGCAGGCATATGTCTGCCCCTGATCCACATGCTGTTAGTATCCAGTTTTAGGTCTTCATTCCACATTATGACTTCTATTTTCCTCCCTCAGTATTGCACGTCTCTAGATTTGATATATTGGGGCCCTCGCGCTGCATCAGGCTTTGCAATTTCCAAGGAGCCGATCAATGCTTAATAGCAAGCGCCATCTTTAGAAGTATTAATTATTCATTTTATTTCTTCGTCCCCTAATTGCAAATGTGGCTCTAGGTGACATACAAAGTCAGGGTGTACATTTATCCATGTTTTTAGGCCTGTGCTAATAGGCATTTTACTGCATTTGCCATTGCCTGCGGCTACAAGCAATAAATATTTATTGGATTGGGCATACAAAGGAAGATAAAACAAAATAAAACTGCGATTCCTGCAATTCAACAATTTGCTTTTCAGCAGAACACCCCTCCAAGGCAAAAACTCATCAATTGCCATCAACCCACAGCAACTAAAACCAATGGTGTGTTTATATGAAATGCCGGTGAGGTTGGTAGATGCTAAAAGATGTTCAGTATTTAAGATGTTGAAAGGTTTGGGAGAAGATGGAAAGTCTAAAGTGTAGGTACCAGGCAAACCTCTTTACAGAGAGCATTCTGCAAATGGGAAGCTACTGAAGAGAAGGTCCTTTCCCTTGGAGCCACTCTCCCTACTTCATGCTGAGAGGACACTTGGAGAAGGACCTGCCAAGATGATCTGAGGGCATGTTTGGGAAAAGCCGTTCCTCCTTGCTATCAGGGTCCCAGGCCCTATAGGTCAAAGTCAGCACTGTTCAACTAATTGAACCTTCCTCAACCTGACTCCCTTGAGTAGGAGCACCAGGGGAGGGGATGAGGGGCCAAGTCCCAGAGTCCTCCTGCCACCTTCCCAAAGCGGGGCAAGCACTTTCGGGGCTTTGAGGAGGAGGGAGGAGGGCTCTAGGACCCTGCCAGAGCCCTTCTGCCTCCTTCCCAAAACTCAGCGCCTTTTACCTAGCTTTGGGAAAGTGGGGTGAGGGCTGGAGAGGGCATCAAATTTTGGCCTTGCACAGGGTGCCATATTACCAAGGTCCACCCCTGATTGCAGCTCCCATTGTTTCTGATTGTTGACCATGCTGGCTGGGGTTGATGGCAGTCTGAAACATATGGAAGGCACCCAGCTGGAGAAGGCTGACCTAAGACATGCAGGTAATTCTAAAAGTTGCTCCTTCTTTTCTTTTCAAGGGGTCACTACGGTCCTTACCATGACAACTTTAAGCATCAGCGCCCGCAACTCTCTACCAAAAGTGGCCTACGCTACCGCGATGGACTGGTTCATAGCCGTGTGCTACGCCTTTGTGTTTTCTGCACTGATTGAATTCGCCACAGTCAACTATTTCACAAAAAGAAGCTGGGCCTGGGATGGCAAGAAGGCATTAGAGGCTGCAAAAAAGAAGGTAGCCTGGATTGCTCAGTTGGTTAGAGCATGGTGCTGAT